TGAGTAAAAAATTATGAAATTATGAAAAAGATTTTTTTTTCCTCACTAATATAATAATCGAGTAGCAAATAAAAAAAAGATAAAAAAAAAAACCGAACATAGATCTAAAATAAATAACCCAATATTCAAAAAGGAAAAAAAATAAAAACATAGATCTGAAAAATATGAACAAACCCAGGGAATCAAAACCAAAATATTCAAGAAAATAAAGTACGAAGATAACAAATAACATAATCGAACCAAAAAATACCATGCATGTACAACCGATGGGAAAAAGTGTAATATAAAACATCAACAAATATAGATATACAAAAAAAAGGAGATGCAGCCCGAATAAATCTAGCGAGGGGAAAAAAAAGTCTAGAGGGTTGCAGGAAGAAGATATTTAGGAAACGAAGAAATCTGACAAAAAAACCTAGAAAAATAGACTAATCTAAAAGGTTGCAGAGGGGGAAAAAATAAATAGAAAAATATAGATCCAGAAATGAAAAAGATAAACATAGATCTAGAAGATCATAGAAACGAACGAACCCAAAGAAAAATATAAGCATCTTCAATGTAGGTACGCAAGCATATAAGTAGATCTAGATCTGGCGAGGAGGAAAAAATCTAAGAATTTGCAAAAATAACAAATATGACAAACGAAGAAATCTGGCCAAATATTTAGAAAAATAGACAAATCTAAAAGGTTTCAGAAGAAAAAAACCGAAAGGGGAAAAAGTATATCCAGAAACAAAGAAAGATAAACATAGATCTAGAAGATCATAGAATCAAACGAACCAAAAGAAAAAGATAACCCTAATCACTCTAAATATGCAAAAATAAAAACGAATCTAAAAGGTTGCAGAAGAAAACAAACGGAGAAACGAGGGAAAAGAAAAAAATCTCCAATCTCAGTTGAAAAAAAAAACGTTGAAGATTGCAAGAGCAAAGCAACGAAAAGCATAAATGACAACAGAAAGAAATAATGAAAAAATGGCCGAAATCAACAAACGAAAAATAGGGAAAAAAAACTCAGGCTCAGTGTCAACGAAGGAAAAATCTAGAACATTACGGAAGGAAAGAAATGAAGGAGAGAGAGAGAGAGAGGGCTACAGATAAAAGTGAAAGAGAGCAAATGAAAGAAGGGCAAACGAAATAAGCAGAAGTAACAGTAAATGACCAAAATGGTCACGGCAAATACGCACACAAAAATCTAGAATGAAGGGTAATATCGTAATTTCACTATTATGACATAACGGTAATTAAAATTTCATCAGAAGGAAAAAGCAGGGCTAAAACGGGAAAGACACTATTCATAGCATTGTAGCATGAACAGTGAATCCTATCCTTTCTTTTAGTATATGTATAATGTGATGCAGCGCATCGCAAGGATGCTAGACTTCAAAATTAGAATTTTAATTTATTTAGTTGTTTTTTTTTTATTTTTAGCTGTTTATCTGATTTAGTTATTTTCAAATTTTAAATTTATGATATTTTGGATTAGTTTTCCGTTTCCTTTTTGTTTTTGAATTGTAGTTTTCTATAAATAGGAGAGCCTAGCTTTGTTATTGACAGTTCTTTCAAAAATTAATAAAAATTATATACTTTGAGAGTTCTCTCAACATATTGATTCCAATCTTCTCGGTATTCTGTTGAATCAACGAGTGATTGATGCCTATTTTTCTGATATTCGTGAACGAATCAACAGGTCTATAGAAGTTTTATTTTCCGGTATTCCGATCGAATCAACAGGGTTTTCAGTATTCTACGCGAATCGGATAATATGAATTTATCATTTTTCTATTTTTCTCATTTACTTCCGCTGCGTCATAATGTGTGTGTGTGTGTAATTTTCACCATTTTTTTTTAAAAGAAAAACAAGGTATTATTTGAGACTAAAGTCATTTATAATATAAAGTATTTAACCTTCAATCTCAGAAGAGAAGAAATAAATCTTGGCAAAAACACATTTTGTTGGCCTCTGATCGGTTCTTTTGAATGATAAACATTTAAGCTCTAAGTATTCTTGAATTTAACTTCATGAAAATGTTTACTATTATATTGAGCTTACGAATTTTTTTGGAATTTATATATGCCTGTGTAAATTATTCCATTTTTGTCTTTAGAAAAACAAGGTATCATATTCAAGACTATTAATCAGGCATACAAGTATTCAACATTTAATTCATTCTTCAGAGCTAAATAAATAAATAAAATAAAATCACCTAATACAATATAAAGAGCCATTTGTTTTATAACTCAAACTCAAATTATTTATTTTGTTACAATATTTTTCTCTTAAAAAAATTTAAAATTTAAATATTAAAATTTAAAATTATGATAGTCTTCTAAATTTTTCAAATACGAAGTTGCATGAGCTTCCTTAGGGACGAGAAAGTCCAATATAAACGTTTCCACCGGTAAAGCCAGGTTTGAGTTTGACCACGTGACGAGATCACCATATTCTTGACCAGAAGTCAAATTTTGATTTTTTTTTTCTCCCTCTCTCTCTCTCTCAAAAAATAAATAAAAAAAATAAAAAAAAACTTTTGGAATGGTTGGTGGAAATGGTCCAGTCCATTTCACCGCAAGACCCAAAACGCACTTTTCAGTTTACATCAGCATTAAACAGGCAGGAAGGAACAGCTTGCTTTCCAAGCGATGGAATGAACAAGTCCCATTATCAGCCGACACTATAATAAGTCCGTTTGAAATTAATTTTTAATTATTTTTTAAAACATTTTTACATTTCTTAAAAATGCATAAAAATAAAAATACTCTGCGAACCATATTTATTTAGTAAATATTTTAAAAATAAAAATAAGAAACAGTAAAAATAATTTTTGTGAACAAATTAAAAAATGATTGAAAGTTATTTTTCCTTTATGTTTTTATTTTTTAATACTTATCAATAATGTTATAATATATTAATTAATAATTATAATCAAACTCGATTTCACTTTTTTATTATACGCAAAACAATCTCTTAAAAACTAACCAAACGTAATTTCACAATCAATCTCAAAATAATTCTAAAATCGATCTCATTTTTACTTTTATACTAAAAATAAAATCATTTTAAAAATGTTACTAAATGGATCCAATATGCTTCTACCCTTGTTTTTCCTTTCTATTTTTCATTGAACATTTTTTTTTTTCAAAAACAATAAGATTCGGTCCCATGATAAATGAGACGATAAATCGTCTTTCACAGTTATGCCATGACCGCCATTGGTGGTAAAGAATGGAAATTGAACTATTGAAATTGAATTTTTGAAGGGGGGGGAAAAAAAAAAGAAGAAAAAAGTTCCACTAGCCAAGGAGGACGCCAAGGCGGCAAGGCATACCTATCAATTATCATCAATCGGTCGCCTTGGAGACACCAAAACCATGACTTGGCATTAAATGTTGGTAGATGAATGAGTATGACAATGAGTCGTTGCTAAACCAACATTTTGATTTTTGACACGGCTGCGAAGAAAATAAAAGAAAAGATAAGATGATGAAAGACTAATGTTCTTCAACCTCATAATTTAGCAGCTCATTATATTGTCAAATGACATTATAGAATAATTTAGTATCACATCTTGAAACATAACATGTAAATTTGATCTTATTAGTACCATAACATTTTACCAATAAATATACGCATAATTGATCTTTTATGATCCTTAAAGAAAATTCAAAAGGTTTATTTGTAGCTTTCACATAAGCATGGATCAAAGAACTTAAAATAAAACACATATAAGAATAACGTCACAAGGCATGACTAGTTCAAAGAAACCTTTGCTTCATGTAGTTTATGTAGAAAACGACAGTTTGAAGCATCAATTTTTTAACCGAAAATAGGCCAAGAGTGATGCTTGAACCAAGCCCTCAACCACCAGGATCAAGATTTGAACAAAAACATCAGCTGTCGTTTGTTAAATGATGAAACTGGGTGGTATTTCATGGGATTTTCTTGAGGTAAAAGGTGATTGAAAAAGGTACTACTATTGATTTTTTTTTCCCCTTAAGTGTCCTATTGAGTTAAGTGGAGTCTAATTACTTTGTATTTTTTTCTTTTTTTTGCCTGAGTTCAATCTGGATATTTTTTTTAATAGGAAAATAGAAAGATTGAGAGACATTTTTAGTGGATTCTATCTTTTATTTATTTTCTAATTATAATGATATTTTGCAATGACAATTAGATGTAACTCTTGCATTAAGAGTAAACAACTACAAATAATGTTTTGTTGTGTTCATTTTTGTTCTTCTCATTTTGTTATTACATCGAATAGTGAAAACTAGGGATTTTAATTCCCTACACTTCCTCGAATCCCTTAGATGATTATCAATCAAGTTAAACTTTACTTGATTCCTTTAGTGTAAAATGATGAAGAAAAGAAAAATATCACAGAAGGTTAAATTTGCACTTTTAAATACGTATTTGTGTTTAACAAAAGAGACAAGCTGATCAAAGCCCTAAACAATTGACTCAAATTCTTTGGTTTCATATTCAGTCTTTAGGCCACAAACCTAACAGTTGACCATTTGATATATTAGAATATTATATTCAGCGCAGACAACAACACAAGTATATTTATGAGAATTATAACATAAAGTCTGGCACGCGTTACCAATAAGAACGAACACGAATTGGAGATCAATTTGAAACCAGGAAATTATGCATCAAACCTCCAAAGAGTCAATGACACAATGGTGATATCGTCTATCTATCAGCGAACTTGAAAGCAGAATACAGAACAAAAGCAATACAACCAGCTAATAACTTTTTTTTTTTCTATTTGTAGAAACTAGAGACAATTATAACTTGACTCGTCAATCAACTAAATATATACAGTTAACAACAAGTATAAAAATAATGCATTGATATTCCTTTTTAGACTACATCATGTTGTTTTCTTTATCGGTATATAATCACCTTAGCTTGAACAAGGGGAAAACCAATGAATCTAATTTGGTATCTGTGAAGAAAAAAGAAAAAAAAATAAACTCAAAAAGAAAAAGAAGAAATAGAAAAAAGAAAAAAATGTTCCTCTTCAACCCCCATGTTTACACTTCATCTTCAACCATACAATTTCTAACCAAGAATTTTATTTTTTAACTTTATGCTTTGCTAAACATCAGCACAGTTCCTTGGGGCATATCCCAGCCTAGACTTGTTGGTGTCATAGAGAATGTGGAAATTCTGCTGCTGGTAATTCCCAATGATGGAGAGAGCAGAAGCAGAAGTATTCTTGAACGCCAAACAAACAACTTCTTGTGGATCAACCTGGATAAAATAATTCTCAACTGGGAAATTCCAAACACCCCCATCAGAAAACAAAATCCCAAAATCAGGAAGCTCAATGTTCTCCACTCCAGACACATTGTAACAAAGATCCAAAGGAAAATCCTCTATTTTGACCAATTGATACCCTTTAACTTTCTTCAAAAAGGCTTCTTTGATAACCTGATAAGCAGGATCTTGGAAATAGCTCAGTGTAGTACCTGAATCTATGATTGTCCCGCCATAACCTTCTGGTGACAATTTCCAAGTCTCCTCAGGAATGTTCAAAACTTCTCCTCCAACCAAAATGTATTTAATCTCGACGTAGTAGAATGTATCGACTGGATTCTCTTTCCCGGCGACCAGAGCTGTGAAATTCAGCTCGGGGCGGCTCAACAAGTCCTTGTCCTCGCCAAAAATCAGCTTGCTGCTAACGTTGGTGTCACTATTCCTATCCACAAGACAATATGAGAAGGAGTGACCATAAAGAGATTGAAGCTGAGATGAAAATGAAAGAGGCCCTCTCCCAAGTCCCAGCAGCCCTGCAGCCCCTTTGAACAGCCCTCTATTCCAATGCCCGCACCCAAACATGACGTTCTCCACGCGGCGAAACTCCGCCTTCCCGGTGGCCCCGGTGGTGAGATTGACGGTGAAAGTCTCGACCGCGAAGTCCCCGGTCGTGTTGGAGCTATCACCGTACCAATAGTAGTACGGACATGATTGGGATTCGGATTTGCAAGGCTTGGGAGGGTCAGGGGATGACACCAATTGGCAGCGGGGATCACGGCAACTTATGTTCCGAAAAGATGTCGACTCTTTGGGGTCATAGTACGGACCATTTTGCTCAAAACAATCATGGCATGGAACACATTGAATCCAATTGAGATCACTACCGGTGTCAAGTATCAAAGAGAAGTGTTTTGGAGGTGTACCGATAAAAACGTCCATGAAATACTCTCCGGAGCCGAACCCGACGCCGGACTCCAACGTCGCCATGAGCCGCCCCGCGTAAGACTCCGGCAGCTGCGCGACGACAGGACTAATTGGCTGGTTCGCTTTCTTCTGAACCTTCTTGTTCTTCTTCTTCTTTAGCCTTGACACGTTGCTTTGATTCTTCTTCTCAGTCATCCTCTTATGAAGAGTCTGAATTCTTGCTATGTCCCTGATTGTGGAGCTTATCACGGACTTCTTCGGCTCGGATTCGCCGCGCCGGTTTAGGTGGAGCTTCACCGCTTGTTTGTTTTGCTCCAGTGATAAAACTGAAGAAATGTTTATTCCTTCGTTGCCGTCGTCGTTGTCGTCGTAGCCCTCGTTGTCATCGAATTTCGAATTGGATTCGGATTGTTTGTCGTCGTTTGAGGTTGCGAGGCTGCAATCGGAGGTCACCGACGACGAGACGGCATTGAAGCTCATGTGGTCGGGGAATTCGATGCCGGGGAGAGAAGAGCCGTTTTTGTTGTGGTTTCCAGCAATGGCTCCGATAGCCGCCACGGAGAAGATCACCAGAAGAATTATTACAGAAGATACCTTGAAGAAACACATGGTGATGAGCTTTTCTTCTTGTTTGGCTACTCGGAAAATCCTACATCAATGGGGAAAATTCAGAAGCAGAAACGACGAGACCACGGAAAAATCAGGAAAAAGTCAGATTTTGCTCCCCAAAGAAAAACCCAGAAATTTCAACTAAACCGAGTGAAACAAAAAAAAAATAGATAAATTTTTGTTTTGAAGCACAAAAAAAGAAGAAACCCTGAAACTGGTTCTGGGACTTAAAAAGAAATAAATGAAAAAGGAAAAAGTTTTTCAGGTGTTGAAGTGAAAATAAGTCTGTTTGGGAGATGGGAAAGTATTTATGAAGAAGAGGTAATTATTACAAGGCGAAACGAGGAAGAGAAGAGAAGTGTGTTCGTGTTTGTGCTTACAATTCAGTGTCAAAGTCTTTGAAATCTATTTTACTTCAAAATTGGTAATAGTTGTTCAAAACGCGGTTTCAACCAAAACATAAAAATAAAAAACACAAAAAAAAAAAAGAAAGTGACGATTTTCCTTTTTCGTTTTCGTTTTCTTTTTTAATCTTTGACGAACGTTTCTAAAGTGTTTTCTAGTTTTACCTGGTCCTTTGGTTGGGTTTCTTCCTCTCACTTTCCTGCTTCATTGGCTAAGCTTCTCGGCGCTGTCATAAACCGTTGAGCCTCATCAGCGAACTACAAGTGTCTGTCTTACCTCCCAAGTCTTTGGTTTACTTGGTAAAACTCTGCGGTCTTGGGTTTTGACTTTGGTTTCACTTGAAACATTTTTTATTTTTTAATGAGAAATTACAGTATTTACGTGTATGAATTTTGATTTTTATCTCTCGTTACTATTTTATTAGTATAGTTATTTGATTAAAAATATTAATAATTAAGAGTAAAAGATAAAAATTATAACTCGTGCACTTTTAAGAGATATTTGTCTCATTTTCCATTTTTAACAAGTGAAACTCTTAGTCATTTTAGTTCTTAGAGCTCTTTTAGTTCCCACGTTCAAATAAATGATTCTGATTTATTAGTAGAAACTTTATGAAAGAATCATTATTGAAAAATTTTTAAATTTAAATTCTTTATAAAAATAAAACACTATAACAAAATCAAAATCATGAATTTAAATACATTTTTCAAACGACTATTATTAATTCTTAAGTAGTGCTGAAATTTTAGACGGGCCGCCTGCGACCACCGAAAAATCCAAAATTTTACGCGATTACCGAGCCCGAACTGTCTAAATTTTTGGGATGCCTGACCCGACCCGAATTTCACCTTGACCGGGCACGGGCAGCCCGTTGCCCGACCGAAAATGCCTGAAAATTTTTAATATTTTTTATATTATATATATATATATATCACAATTTGAAATTTGAAATGAACACACGAACTCTATAAAAAAATTATTTATTTATTGATTTTTAAATTTTTAATTCATGATTGATTCGTTAAAAACCTTATCAAGAAAAACCCAATTAGGATAAAAACTTGGTAAGGAAAAAAGAGTGCAATCATTGTGGGACGAATTACAAATTTGACGAACTTCCAAAGTCTATGCAAGATTACAATAATATTATACAAATTACAATGTAAATCAATATTTATAAATTACAATAATAAAATTTAATTTGAAGCAGAATGATCGTCTTGAAAATTAAAAGTTAATTTATTAAATTCGTCGATCCATTCTTGGCTTGCTGGTGAGATTGTATCGTGTAAGCGTTGGTCGGAACGATCCCAATCCTTAATGCACACCAAAGCTTCAATAATATCCTGTTGCAATGTGTTTCTCTGCTCTTCAAGTATTTGGCCAGTTGTACTGAATGCTTGTTCGGCTACAACAGTGGAGACTGGGATCGAAAAAATATCCATTGCCAGTCGTGTTAGGATCGGCCAAGTTAATGCTCGTGCCCTCCACCACTGAACCAAATCAAACATTTCACTATTGTCTACAACTAAGCCCTTACTCAGGTACGCCATTAACTCGTTGAAGCCGCCGCTGTTGCCGCCACCTCTTGATGAAGATCCACTCCCAGATTCTTCTTGACCTTGAGTCGTCGCCGTCTTCTTCTTCTTCTTAGACAACCCGAAAACATTCAAGAATGAATGCGGATTGTCATCTCGTTGTTGCGGTTATTCTACACGTGGTGTGTTTCTAAACCTACTTTCATAAGAGCTATATAGAGAAAATATATTTTCCTTTATAATAGGAAATTGGTCAGTAGTGTCGATAGCTAAAAAGTCACCTAAGTTATCTAATCCACTTTCTAAACCATTTAATTTTAATCTAGGGTCAAAAATAACACCAAAATTGTACATTGGTAATGTAGACCAATATTTTTTAAACTTCTTTTCTATAGAGGCAATAGGAACTCATAAAACCTCATGTGTCCTAAATTCACTAAATAAAATAGACATTCTTAAAAGTTCTTCTAACGCTAATGATGACGTTGGGTAATAAGTTCCACTAAGCGTTAAAGTAACTTCGTGAAATCTAAAAAGTTAAACAAGAGTTCGGCAATTTGCCAATCAGTTTCATCTATAAATCCCACTCTTAATTTTGCACTAACATAATTTGTTATAGCATCTTTATAGGGAATGCATTGTTCAAGCATTATATAAGTGGAGTTCCATCTTATGGGCATATCTAAGGCTAATGCTCTAGAATTTTGATTACATGCTTGTAGAAATCTAAACCAATCTTGTATTCTTTGATTACTACCTTTAATCCAAGCAATGTTATCTCTAATTCTTTTAATATGACCTGACATTGATTTTAAACCGGATTTTACTATTAAATTACTTATATGACATGCACAACATTAGTGAAATATATCATTATTACCGAATAAACTTAAATCATTTTCAAAAAGTTATATTGCTTTAGTATTTGCAGTTGCATTATCTAATGTTATGGCCATTATTCTATCTCTTAAACTATATTCACCAATGACAGATAAAATTGTGTTATATATTAAATTGGTAGTGTGTGATCCTATAATACATTTAAAACCTAAGATTCTCTTATCCAAATCAAAACCTTTATAATAATGTCCGGTTATAGCTAAATAATCTTTGTTGGCAACAACGGACTAAATATCCACCGTTAACGCAACGCAACCACTAGTAGAGTGTAAAAGGTTGATTAATGCTTCATTTTCTTGTTTATATAATTTTAATGAATCTTTCCTAAGAGTAGTTTTAGAAAAAAATTGTACATTAGGATTATGTACAATTTTAATATAACGCTGCAAATTCATTTGTTCAGTAAAACTAAGTGGTTGATCTAATGTGGCTACTAATCGTGTCATTTCCATACGATCAACTTGCGGATCGTATTTTCACGTGCTTAGACTGCCGGTTTGGCAGTCAAACGATAATTGTGTGTGGCGGAGATCGACTCCGCCTCCTTACTTTTGAAGACACTTTTCAGAGTGTCTTCTCAAGTGTGTAGTGCCGTGAATAGTGTTACCTTGTAATTTATCACCACAATATTTGCATTGAGCTATGTATTTAATGTTACCGTTATTATCGACCTCCTTCAATGTGTTGAAGTGCTTCCAAACTGCTGATGTGCGCTTGCATTTCTTCTTAGAACTTGTAACACTTGCACTAGCACTACCGCTTGCCTCTCCTCCACGCCCACTAGTGCCACCACCATTACATCCATGACCTCTAGTACGTCCACTAGGGCTCGGATTTGCAGTTTCCTCAGCAACTATTTCCGTAGTTTGCGATTCCTGCATTTGAAAAATTAAGAAATTGCTCTTCTTCGATGTTGAAGTGGGCATCAATGGGAATATCACCACCATAACCAGAAGAAGTCATTATGAAAAATAAGAGAGATTGAGAGCGCTTTGAGAGAGATTAAGAGAGATCGAGAGAGATTTAAGCGAGATTTGAGAGAGATTAAGAGAGATTGAGAGAATTAGAGTTTTTGGGTGAGGAAAATGGTTGGTGGAGGGGGAGAATTTATAGGAAATTTTTTGGCTTGAAAAAAAAAAAATTCCCCCAAAAATTCAGTTCCAACGGCTAAGTGGAATTCGGGCATTCGGGTCGGGTATCACGCAAATCGGGCAACAGTCAAAAAAATTACCGTTGGGGTTTGAAATTTCGGGCAAAATTTGGGCGGCAGTTGGGTTGGGCAAAAAAGATCCGTTGGGTTCAAATTCGGGCTAACGTTAAAAAATTTTCAGGCAACGGGCAAAATTCGGGCTAACGGTCAAAAAAATTTAGGCAAAATTCAGGTTACGTGGGAAAATTCAAAAAAAAAATCCGGCGGGCGGCGAGGTCGACTTCTCCACCGGCGGCGGGCAGCCTGAATGGATTTTTTTCGGGCTGCCCGAGCCCGTGCCCGACCAAAATACTCGAATGGGTGATGAATGGCACCTGCCCGCCATGCCTAAAAATTTTTGGGCATCGGGCATGCTCGCCGCCCGAAGTTTCACAACTATTCTCAAGCAAGTAATAATCAACCACATGGGGGCACAGTCGCCGAGAATAATTTAACAGGAGGCAAATGGCCCTTTGTTAAGGATTTTTTTTTTAAATAGTTGAGTTTTACAAAATTAATAAAATGGCTGTTTTTTTATTAATTTGGTGATCAATCACTGATTAATTTAATCACTGATTGATTAATTGACTTAACGGTCAATTACTAGTTAATTTAAGTTTATCACTGATTAAGTTAAATAATTTTTTAGTATTAATGAATACCGTTAATAACTCATTGAAATTAATTAGTAATTAATAAATTTCAATCAACAAATTACATGTTTATTAATGATAAATTATAATAATGAATCAGTCTTGATTACTGAAAAAAAAAACCATTTTACTAAAATAAAAAAGTTAGACTATTTATTTAAAAAATAAAAAGTTTTGTCATCAGCATGTTAAATATAGCTTAGACTGATATAATTTTAGACTCCCTAGATGTAAGTTGAAGATAGTATGTAAGTATTTCTTTTTGTTCCACTATGATCAAGTGACCATTGGATTGGTAGTGTGAAGACACTACTTTTTTTTTTTAATTTAACAAAAAAATAGTATTTGGAATAAAGTAAAACAAAGAAATTACAATGATCATTGAAATTAATTCATACTAGGACTAATTTGTGTAACCTAAGTGCACAATACTACTGCAGTATCTATACCAGGTTATGAATTGAATGGCATGGGATTTTCACTTAAGAAACACCTATTAGTACTTTTTTTTTAATTAAAAAAAAAAGTCC